CAACTACAGGTTTTCTCCCAAGAGGCTGAATCACATTCAAAATGTCTTAAAGTGAAGGGGAGGTGTGTTCATTTCAACTCGCTCGGCGCACAGCGACACCTTCTCCATTCTGCTGGACCTGAGCTGCTACTGAATGCTCCTGCACTGGAGGAAGGGCTGCCGCTCCCGGGAACTGGAGCTATAGGTGGTTAGGAACTGTCCTCAAAGCTTCTTCTCTCGACCGATCCACACCTACATTCTGCAAATTTAAAGACAAAAAAAGATTTGAAAGCAAAGGTCTCACGGTCAGCTGTAGTTTTGCTTAACACACAGCTATTACACAAGGCAAAAGATGAGCAAGCTTTAATGCTTGTTTCCTCAAGATGTTTTGTAAAACACAAGGGAGGTCCCAGCCTGCGAGCAGAAGGCAGAAGCCAGGCTTAGACCCCGTCCCAGCCACTACGCGCTTCGCAGAGCCCAAGTCCCTTGGATATCTAAAAGCAGGCGCTCTGCTGCCAGTGGAAAAGCATCTTTAAGACACTAGGCCTGGTAGGACAATCAGTCTCTGTCCACCGCACGTAGGTCAATGTTACGTGTTTTAAGACCTTTTTTACTTTAACCACCATTTCTAACCACATTTTTCTAATTCACTATCTCTTCTAGTATTTATGCATATAGTATAAGAAAAAACAGAACCCCACAGCAAAGGTCATAAACCACGGGAGGGAGGGAGGGAGGCCCATCGCTCCTTGTTTCAAGCACACTCCAGGAAATGACTCCTTAACACCAACACCTATAAAGCCAATTCTGATGCTGTCTGTAAGCAGCTATCACTGAAAGAACTCTGAACAACTCCCTGAAGAGCTGGTAACATAATGTTTAAATGCACTCCAGGACACATAGGGATGTTGGCAGATGTCACACTGACATCAGATAACGTTTCAGTGGTTTTATAACCACCTTTATTGGAGTTTACTTTGAAAATAAGTCTCTTCAGTCCAACCCAAGGAAAAGGAAAGCCCCACTAGTACACAGCGAGGGGGACTCCCAGCGCACACTCTCAGACAGCATGCACACAACTCCATCAGTCAAAATGCATCAACTTAAAAATCAAGTCATTCCCCTCCCCAGCTCCAGTTTCTAGGATTTTCAGCCATTTCTTATGAAAAGAGGAGATAAACAAGCAGTACCAGACTTGATTTGGGGGTTTAAGTGTGCCAACATCACTTCTGCCCTTTCCAATTCTCCTACATCAGTGCCAGCCCTTTCCTTTCTCAAGAGCCTTCAAGCCCTCAGGTAAATCACCCTGTTTTCCACCATAAACACACCACAACCAAGTGTTCTGAGAACACACACACACCGGCGCTGCTGGGCACAGCCTTCCAAGCCCTGGAAATCTCTGGACCCAGGAGCACACTGCCTGACCCACTCTCTGACTTCTCTCTTTGAAGGAAAAAAAAGCAACAACCTTAACTCAGAAAGAAGTTCTACAGGTAGCATCCCTTCTGCAGCAAAGGACAGACAGAAAGTGTCAGCACCTGTCTAAGAACATGAGGAGTTGGTGAAACAAGTAATATTCTGCATGACTACAAGGGAAAAAACAACCCCACAGCAAAACATACTGGCATTTGTTGCATTTGTTTGTATTTTTCTTAGCAACTGATGCAACATAGCCAGAAATCCCTTGGGACTGTGGAGTTCTCTCCACAGGCACTCCAAGAATATTGGCTGAAATCCTTTAAGCTGAGCATCTGATGTTGATTCAAAGAAAATTAAATGGAGCATGAAATAACAACATCAATATGCAGGAATCCAGAGCTACTGGAAATTAGTCCACAAGCAGCAAGAACTAGACTGCTATAACATGAAACTAAAAGGAAACAGAGTGGTAAAGACAAGGCAGACTATACAGCTTATTTAACTCAATGAGAGGCATTAGATGAAAGCAGCACTTTAGCAACTGAGGCAGACCCAAGCGGGAATATCAATATGCAGTCAAGAAAGCTGAAAGCAAAAAGTACTTCAATTTGAGTAAATGCAAAGGAGAAGACGTCACAGAAGCGAAGCACACTGAACTCTCACACTGAAGAAGCAAAACTCTGGGATAAACCCTAACAAACACACCCCAGGGCTTACTAGACAAATAGAATACCTAACTGCAAGAGCAGATGAACTCAGGCTTAGAAAGGGACTAAGATCCTCATTAATGGTAAATGCATTCCTACTCACAGGAACCCCATTAGATGAGATTACAGCAGCTGGGATCGTACCCACCTCCAGAACAGCCACAGGCATCAAGAGAGAAAAGCCGTGCGATGAGAACAGTGCTGCTGCCTAGAAAGACGATTGAGCTTTTAGCCTTACTTTTGGGACCAAAAGGCGCCCCTGCAACTGTTCAGCACTGCCTTACCACTGCTCACCTGGACAAAACCACTGCCCTGGGAACAGCAAGCACTACCACTGCCACGCACCAGCAGCAACACGGTCTGGAGGGCTCAGGAAACACAGGAGTGGGAACAGAACCACCACACACCTTTTTTGAATACTATTTCTGCCAAGGCATATGGGCTCTCCCTCAGTCAGCCTGGGCAGAGACTCGCTGCTTCTGAAGCTGCTCCCCAAGGAGGCTCAGCGCTCATCGGGGCAGGAGCAGTCTCACCCTGCCTTGCTCAAGGGTCCATCTCACCCACTCCTCTCTGGAAAGGCGCAAAACACACAGATTAAGCCAAATACACTCTTATACCACTGTTCCTCCTCACTATACTCCCCCTTGCTCCATACTTTTTTTTCCTACAGAACAGAGCCTCCCCCAAAACCAACGCGCTATGGGTTTCTGAACAGGATGGAGTCAGCCATTTCAGTTTTATTTTGGTTAGCTACATGCGATGTCCACAGCAAAACAGCAAGATTTGGAAGGAATGCTCCTCTAGAGAAGGGGGCTCTGAAGGAGCCATGGAGACAGCCAAAGCAGATGCAGTTAATAAGGGCCCTGCACAGCTGAACAACCAGCACAGGCATGAAGAGAGAAATAAGCAACACAACATGAACAATGCAGTACTCTGATCAGCCAGATTTCCCTTAGCAAGCTGTGCACAAACTGTCACTGCTGCTTCCCACCCAGCACCAGGCCTTTCTTTTACTAAGAAAATAAGCCAGAGGGGACTATTAAGCAATCCTGCTGTAATAGGAGGCCCCTTAAAGTGCGAAACTGCTTTTAAATATCCACTTCACTCCGTGGCATGCAGCAGCACAACGAGCATTATGCTCAGCACAGAGAACAGCTTCTGCTGCTTCCCCTCCCTCTGCAGCCTCTGCTGGCTGCAGAGTGGGCAAGACCAGCTTTCCTCTCCAGCCAAGCTCCTGACCCTTCCATCTCCCCCCTCCGTTTCCTCCAACAGCCCAAGCTCCTTTTTCAAGCAGCAAAACTCAGTTTTTCCACAGTAGACGCCTGCACAGATTTTGACTCCATCAAGAACCTAATGGGTTTAGTTTAATTTTGCACAGTATTTCCTTAGTCGTGGCCTGCAGAGATGACAGCACTCCAAGCTGCCTTGGCGTGGCTTCTCAGTACCCGACTATGACCAGCATCCCTGCGACCTCCCTGGGACATCACTTCAACTCCCAGGGGAAAGTAACCAGAGGACTCACTAAGTAAAGTGCAAGCAGGTACAGCAGGCTCTGATCTCCTCCTCCATGGCATTTTTCACAGCAAAGCATGTACCAAGTGGCTGGGGCAATTAAACACTGAAAAGTGACAAAATACTCCCTCACCATGGTCACGACAGAGAGAGGAAAATAATCTGGGCTCCCTCAGTCCCAGCTCATCCTGGGATACTGATTTAACTAAATACCAAGGTGTATAGCAGACAGCTTTTTGGTCAGGAGGTCATTTGGTTATATCAAACATTCCGATTGCTATAAACCTCTGAAAACTTCAGTGTAATTTTAGAGGTGCAGATATGTAACACCTTTTTTTTTTTTTTCCCCAAAAAATCCCAATTTGGGGATTTTGGAAAACCTGAGAAACCTAACAGATAACAGCTTTCCACAACATGCCACTCTTGCTTACTTTCAAGACTAAAAGACACCCTGCCCAGAAGACAGTTGCAAGACACTGAGATTTTCTGCCTTCCCCAGTCTTGATGCTACTTAAACGAAGCTGCTTCAATGGCACAGATGCTTCCTGCTGCCTCGTTTTGCCCACTACAAAATTGCAGAGAAAGCAGCCAAGGCATGGCACCACATCTCAAACAAGCTGCAGTCTTCTCCAGCCTGTGAAAAGTTTTGCCATAATTCAGTTTAGGATGCGCACCTTGCTGGTTCGAGATCCTGCGCCTGCTGGAATCAACCCAGCTACAGAATCATCAAGCTAACTCTGCTTCCACGCTCTGAAATGGTACACGAAGCAGGAAAAGAGGGAATTTAGAATCACTTCTGCTGGCAGGCAACACCTAAAACCTACTTAATGCAGAACAGCTGCTAAGAAAAGTCATGTATTAAAAACACTCCTGTACCTTGAATTATTGTTCTGGAACGAAGTGAAAACTTGCTACCCTCTTCAAACAGCACATCATTAATTAGCACATCTAGAGCATTAGCACTATGGATCAGCAGGATTAAGGTTTTACAGTAACTATGGATTGTTATTTTATGCTACATAGCAGTCCAATCACTCCCAAGGGCACTGAAATAGGTAATACTGGTGCCTAGAAAACAAACTTCAACTTTTTCTTGTCTCACACAGGATGCTGTGTTTCATGGTTTTCATAAACACATCGCAACTAACGTTAAATGATTGCTGGCCGTTACAATAAAACTTAATGCTGAAGAATCTTTCAATTATAGCCGTTTACAAAACCAGCATTCCAGTGACAGCCGATCCATGTTTGATAACTCATCCACAATAAATTAACCAGTGCAATAATTTTATTGTGATTTGATAATTTCTTCAAGTCATGTGCTGTACAAACATTTGGGTTGGGTTTGGAGTTGGGGTTTGGGTGGGGCTTTTTTATTTCAAAGTGATTGGAATGAGGAGTTTTTCAATTTGTTTTGAAGTAGTATGACGAAAAGAGCACCCCAAGTTCAACATCTGATCAGCATACAGGATTCACTGATGAGCAGGGACTGTTACAAGAGCGTCCTCGGGAGGTCTGGAAATGTCTACATTCTGTATAATAATAAAAATTCAGCAGAGAATATTTATCATACAGCAGTAAGAGCAACAAAAAACCCAACCAGATTCCTTCACAAGTACACAGCTGCATTTATTTAAAAGCAGAGATTTTTTTTTTTTTTTTTTAACCCCCCACACCCTGAGAATGCAGCAGACTGGTTGGTGACCCAGAACTAGACAGCAGGAGAACATATTTACAGTAATCGCTGATCCCATGATGACAGTATTACCAACAGCTCAAGTCATTCATGTTTAGGAGGAAGCCTTTTACAGGCCCAAGCACGAATCCACTTAAACATGTGCTTCAGCACATACACGTCTACCCATTAAGCAAATTTCAGTGCTTTGCTGAACTATGCCATCTACTTCTTTCTAGAGGGAAGACTTCATTTTGTGTTACAGGCAATGTACTACCCCTGACAAAACAGAAAAGTATCTTCCCAGACACCTTAACAGTTCAAAATTGATCACACCACCAACTAGATCTCCCCTCATTTTGCACAGGCTGTAGGAAAAAGGAAAAAAAGAAGAAAACCAAAAAAGATATTCAATGGAGCAAATTATTCAAAACCAAACAAAACCAAACCACCAGTACAGCCACACACTCGCTCTAGAAGCACAGCTTTGAGTGCCGCTGTGCGGAACCAGGCTCGGGAATCACACCTGCTGTGGTACCACCCCATCAAGCCCCAAAGACTGTGCAATTAGTATTCTCCCTTCTACCAAGAAAGCAGACTATGATAAACTGTTCTGAAGTCCCCTACAAGATCTTGATCTAAGGTTTGGCCCATTTTAGGCCAAAACATTGCCAATTCTTCCAACTTTGTGCTGTCAGGCTTCACGAAGTCTTACTTGATTTATACTGTGGTAAACAAACTCACCTTTCACTAACATCTTTCCTCTCCCCTTCCCCCCCAAAAATCAAAAACAAGATACGGGTTTCTTGCTACGAGCAATCTCCCTGTCTATCGCTCACGGACTAAGACAGAGGTGCAAAGTAGACATTTTACCCCAGTGCTTGTTTTCTGGCCCAAACAGGGGACCCAGGCAACAGATAAAGTAATTCCCCTGAATTATTTTCAGTAAAAAACCTACAGACTCCTTCATTTGAAAAAGTCAAGAACTTAAGCCACTACAATGCTGACAAACACAAGGCTTCAATCCACTTCAGACAAACCATCACCATACAATGAAGTTTACACATCTTATAAACACATACTCCAGTGCTTTGCCTGCATTTCTGCAGTGTGAAAACAGATGCTTTCAGCTGGCGCCAAAAAGGAGCTCACTGTTCTGAAACACAGACTGCAGATTACTTGTGGTGGCACAGAACAGCAATTCTTAATCAAATAGTTTCATTGTTTAACAATGTTGTTATCTGTGATGCTGCATTTAATTAAATGCTTTGACTTCAATAAGCTATTTGAAAACTTAATTTTACAGAAGTAATTAATATTTTCATAGGTGATGTCAATGAAAGCTTTTGAAATTTCCATAGTCCTCTGAGAAGCATTTAAATGCAGACAGGACCCACTCAGTCCTCCATTCAGCCCCACTAAATGAACAGTGTGTCATCACCCACACTTCACTGGTCTGGGTTTCTTTGGGGGCTGAGGGAGAAGAGCATTTGAGGGGTTTTTAATAAAAATGCCTCTGTTCCTTTTTTTCTTTTAAAAAATTCATTAACTCAATTTATTTCTGCTTGAATTAAACAGCTTTGTGTCTTTACGTCCACTGCAATGCAACGATTGACCTGAAATACAGCACCCCAACACCAACGTCAGTACAGCCACATCACTCGCTAGATATGTTAAGAGTCACTTGGTGATTCAGGCAGAGCTTTCCCCCTCAAAATAAACATCTCCAGTTAGAGAAGCAGTCTTTCCAACAGCAATTCCCAAGATACTTTAGCAAGCTGTAAATTCAGCGTTTTATCAGCAAACTAAAGCTGTTCAACTGATCTACATTATTTGACATGGACAACCTAACACCTGCCCTAAGGCATCCTCACTTATTTTCACCATGGTTCTCCAACAGCTTTTAAGCACTCTGAAAACAGAATGGATTTCCTAAACCTAACAAACCAAACTAAGGTACAAAAGTGGTAAAGCATAACAACAAAGGCAAAAGGGGAGGAGCGAGGAAATACACAACACGACCGTCTAATAGCAAACGTCTTGGCTATGAATGACCAAAAGTCAGTATTTTCAGAACTATGAATACCCAAGTTATTGAAACAAAACTCCTCCAGCATGAATTCTGCACAACTGCCACAAGTGTGTGCCCTCATATAAGTAAGGCATTTTGTGTCACATGCCTTATTGAATACACACATAAAACCACATTTATCGCTATATTCCTTTTCATCATGAACCACTGTTCTGAAAACCACCATGAACAGCCCCTTTTTCTCACGTTATCAAACTGACTTTTAATTCACCAGTAGCCACAGCTCATAACCTCAGCAAGGAATCAAGTGCCATACCTAGTAGCACAGGGATCTGCAAGGGAATCAGAAATTTTTAATCATGACACATTTTACATAACTTTCATAATGCAGCAATGGAAGAGCTTTGCACAAGCAGCAGAATCGACCTAAGCTCATGTCAACACTTGGGAGCACACAGAACCGCGTGCCTGACACAGGGAGAGTAGGAAGCTGCCGTGGTCTAACATCTTATCTCCACTTACATTTCACAAATGCATTCAATTTCCTTTTCCCCAGTTGTTCTGCTGTATCCAGAGATCTAGTCTTCCTCTCCAGCTTTGGCTTAAAACACAGGTGGCACCATCAATTCCTCTTTTTCATACAGCAATGATAGCAGTGATGAAAAAACTGACGATTTCATTATTTACTCTCTCCAAAACAAGCATGGCATTCATAACAATGTACTTTCTGACTACACCCTACTTCTGCTGATTGACAAAGCCTGGAAGAACTTTATACAGTTTTTAGATTGATACCGTATCTTCAAATTCTCATTCAGGTTTTGAAGATAAACTACTCCAGCTAGAGCTCACATGTAAGATAAATTTGCTCAATAAAAAGAATTTTTTCCCCCCTCAACAGCAAACCAGTAGTAAAGCTTTGATATATAAAATGAAATACACTCAGCTGAGTTATCAAATCATTTCTAACTGCAAGGATAATGGAAATCAGTTCAGACAGTACCTTACGTCAACTTCTCAGATTTGAAAAATATTCTTACCTCGGGTTTATCTCTGTGTGTGTTTACAGCTTCAACATTCAGAAATATAGATTCTACTTTACATCCTGTTGATAGAAAACACATTTTTAGAATTGGTTTACTTTAAAAATGAAGTCACAGTAAAGATGCAATCTTAATTTTGAGTTGGTGAAGGTTAATCACTTCTCCCTTCTGATTTATACGAGAATTTCCCAAACTCTGAACAGCTAAAGCTATTGAAATGAATTTATTCCACCAGGATGAACATTATTCTCAATCTGATAATCCATCTCCTATGCTTACTGTAGCTTTATCATTATTGTCTTTGAAACAAATTTTCATTTTTAAACATACACAAACAACATTCGGTCAGAAAGTTCTTATTTGTGACTTTTTTGTGTTTTAAACATCCTAGACTCCTTAGAATTTCATTCTAATACAGAAGATAAACACTGCTCTCATTTTTTTAAAACATGAAAATGACTGTGAGAAGGTACAATGTGTGTTGTTAGCAACCCCCATTCCTCTACACATGCAAAACAGTTTTAACCCCCAGCTAAGTTGACTTCTGAAAAGGAACTTCTCCTTTTCACCGAAGAATGGAAAACTCCAGAGAAGCAAGAAAAATTGAACAGTCGGAAGAGAAAACTATTACTCAAGTAGTATAAACTGACCCACTTGGACAATTATAATTACTCAATACCCTGCGGCCACACTATTTTAAGCAATATCTGACTGCCAAGCACTGTCTTATCTCACATTAACATGACTTTTATAAGCTACCACTACCCTACACAACAGTCATTAATAGTCAAATTTCTCTGACATACCACAGAGTTCATCTTCTATCACAAATGGGTTTTCAGATTTTTCTGCTCACTTATTTCCTAAAGTCATAACACACTCCACAGAATCACAACATGACAGAAAAAGGTGATTTTAGCCTTTTCTTAAAAAGCCACTGCACTTAAAAAAAATATATATATAAATTAGTAAGGCAAATATGCTTCCCTTATGGAAGCCTATTCCAAGAAACCCCATTTCCCTGATTACTAAGGACTGGTTACACAGCAGACCTCTCAGTCCTTACTGCCAGCTGAGTTTAAGACCTGAAAAAAGTATCGTATAGAAAGCTTTAAATATAAAGCGACATGAGTTACTCCACAGTAATTAAAATGTGCATATTCCCAGCTCATTTTTAATTACCAATGTTTATATGTAATTAGCAAGTTCATACCTACAGCAAGATGCAGTTTCTCCTCCCTGTGCGCTCCCACACACACCACTGCTATACTGGACTGTTGGGTAAAAGTCTAAATTATCCTAATCCAACTGTCAGGCCATAACAGATGTTCCCCTATTGAAGATCAGACACGTAGGGTGGGAATGATGGTAGCTTCAAATGCCAAGAAGAGCAAACCCCTAAGGCAGGTGTTAACCCAGAACAGGATTAGCTGGAAGGTATTAAATGCACTGTGTTTGATCCTGCATCCTGCCTTGCTGGAGCCAGGTGACACACCAACTTGAAATAATGCTATGGATTATTACTGTATAAAAAGTTTACACAGCCCTTGTATTTTCAGATAGTCAAATTCCAAAAAGTAGGTTGACTGCAACGTGCTAATCAGACATACGTATCAAACGCTTTAAAAAACAACAACGGCATTTCTTTCACTGAAGTCAAAAGGGCAAGGACGGTATTTCATTCCACTTCTTTTCCTTCCTCATTTAGTGTGTGAGTAAGCACTGCAAACACCCAGGCCCTCTTAAAACTTATGAACAGTCACCCAACTTCCTGCTAAAAAAAAAAAAAACACCAACCATCCCAAAACAAAAAACTCTCGGTGGAAACAGGCCAAGACTAGCGAGTCAAGAGAATCCAGGTTTAAAAATAAAAATAAAAATTTAAAAAAGCGAAATATACACACACACACAACAACAACAAAAAAGCCACCAAAAAAAAAGTTTTAACTGCTCTAAATCTCTGTTTTCAAAACTTCAGCTTGTCATGCAAGGCTAGGAACACCAGATGTCACCAAAACATAGATGTTAATACTTACTGTAAGACCACACTGCAATTAAATGACAAAATCCCTTCAGCCAGATTTCCCAGCGTAACAGCCAGTTACTTAGTTACTTCATCTCAACTTTATTTGAAACGTAACAAAAAGCAAAGTACAGCTCTAGACTGCTGTTTTTCAAAGCTGATAGTCAAAGACAGCTTTGCATTTCCAACTAAGAACTCGATTAGCATTTCGTGGCAATCCATTCCCTGTAAACTGTGCAGATAATTCTTTGTCTATAAACAATCTTCTGAAGTGTGATGAAGTATCAGAAGATATAACTAAGCCATCACTTAAAGAAAACTAAACAGCAGGCACGTGTTAAACTGAGGTTGACACACACACACAACTTAATTAGCAATCAGCCTAAAACCCAAGGGTACATATTGCAACCCATACCCCAACAAGCTAGCGGAAAATCTCAGTTAGAGGCCCTGAGCTAAGCACTGGTAATAGATGCTGACAAAGGAATGCCAACAACAACAAAGCTAAGTTCATGTGGCAGTGTGAAGGTCTGCAAAAAAAAACACTTCAGGAAAAAGAGAACAAAGCTATTTAAAGGTAAGGGAAACACCCTTGGTAAGATGATAAACCTACACAAATGTAAATTTGCCTGTCTTCTAAAAAGCAATACCCTCAAACGCATCAATAAAAACTGAGATCTAACTGCACCAGTGAAGAATCAGTGAAATAGCCTATCATCTGAGTACAAAAGAAAATTGTTCATAGCAAATATCACAGCCTCTGGTATTTCAGGCCTTCACTAATACATGTGTGTCTTCTGACATAACGCAAAGCAAATGTAAACCAAAGGATCCCCTGATTCTCACAAAGCTGTACAGCCATACATGCAATATCAAACCTAATTGTTCAATTCTAGTTTAAAGCAAAATAAATTTAAAATGTGTTTTAATTTAAATGCTTCACAAACTTTACTGATGACACAGACAATATAGACCTATGTATACTTAATACTACTTACCATAAGCCACCGGGGTTAGCTTTAAGACAGTATGCAGTGGGCACTTCAGGTAAGGCAGTTGTTCTGAGAAATCGAACAACAAATTACATAAGAAATACAGATTACAAGGACGCTAACTTTATTATGTTACAGGTCAACCACTTACACTGTCAGGTAAAAAGACATTTATCCGTTTTCTTCCCTAGCGTGCCAAGAGAGACGCTATTCAAACACAGCAGTATTTCAGGTGAGGAGCAGCTCAATTAAAAAAAAAAAATCAACTGCCAAGTTTCATGTATGGGTCAAATACAAAAAACTATGCTTGTGTGCTTGCCTAGCACAACCTACCCTCTGACGATAAAGGAAATGGTTAGAATTTACTGTTTGGAACCTTAATCAGTAAATTAAAAAATAGACTATTCGTAACGTATCAAGTAAGACTGACCTGCGGGCTTGTCAAGAAAATATGCAAGCAAACAGCGCATGACAGCTTGGTGACATATGACAAGCACATTTTCCTGCCTTTCAAGTTCCATAATTACTGGCTCCAGTCTCTGAACAAGATCTTCATAGGACTGGGTGGGGAGGAGAAATACACAGCACATTAAAAAAGGAAAAGCGCTTTGAACAGTATGTGTACATACAGTAGTCTCACTTTCATATTAGTCATCTTCCAAATGTTGTATTAGTGCACAGGCAAATACTGTAGCAATAATTTTCCTTAATTTAAGAACACAGTCCAGGTCCTCCAGACAATCAAAGAGCACACATCCTACAAAATAAATCTCCCTCACGGAAAAGCTTTATTAAACTAGTAACTATGATCAAGAATTTCCAGAAAATCCCTAGAATTTAATTCACAGCATCTACAAACATACAGGTTAAGTCTTGCACATTGTTTTCCATACCTCATCTTCAAAAGCATCTCTCTTCCAAGCAAAAAGGCTGGGAAGCCCAGCCTACAGTCAGCATACAAGTTCACAAAGCCTGACTTGTTTAGGCTGCCCTTTGAAAACAAACTATGGGTTTGATGAAGTGGCCACGGCCCCACCAAAAGTCACAAAGCAAGGAGGCCAGATTTCTCTTGCAACCTGTCCCACAGAGCACACGCTCAGAGACTCTGCTGCTGCAGGTAAACAGCTGCATTTCCACATGTGCACAGTTAAGTTAATTTTCACGTGCACAGGGAAGACAATACTTCCAATATGTGTCTTGTGCGGCACATGAGAATGAAGAACACAGCATGTCATCCAGTAGGGCAGGGAATGACCAGAGACGAGAGCCTTCACCCTGGTCCCAAGGCCGGCATGGGGGCTGCCCCTTTGGGAAGTGGCACAGCTGATTCAGACCTTGGCAAGAGAAACCCAATGCTCTCCAGAGAGGCTGTGAATCCCTGCCCCTGCGACAGTTACAGCGAAGGAGGAACTGCCTTTGACAAACGACTTGGATCAACTCATCACCCCAAGGCCCAAGGCAACAAGGGAGTTTGAAATGTTTGTCCCCATCCTAGAGGATGGCAGAAGTTTGAAAAACAAACACTCCTTGTCCAAATGGATTAGGAGAACCTTGCAGCTTAATGACTGTCTCATTAGTAAAATAGGGGTCACACCCGCAAGAACACTGCTCTTATCAGGCTGCTCTTCGCACAGTGATTACTCTCACTGCCGAGCAAAGATGACAGCAGAGCTCCATTCCCTCACAACACAAACAGCAGAGCAGCTGCTCCAATTACTCCTCCACCCCGAATCCTCAGCCTCTAGCACCCACAGACAGGCCGTGTGACCATCTGGTAATTTCTAGAGCAAACCCATTACAGCGCAGCAAAGCCGTCAGCAAGTTTTTTTTCCCAGAGGCAAGGAGTTTATTTGAAGTGAAAGACCAATGTGGCTAGGGATTTCCCTAGCACTTCAGTCAGAGCTGAATGCAAACCAGCCATTTTCTACAGCAGGGATGAATAGAAAAAGGCAATCTTGGCACTACGTTTGCATATGCAATAGTTGGAAGCCTTACAATCATTCTCCATGCTTTACTGCTGCAGGAGCACCAGAGAAACGATGCCCACAGGATCAAAGCTCTCAACTTTTTTTCTAAATCTATTGTTTTATTTTTCAAGCCTCAAATCAAATTAAATGGTCTGGGCTCAATCCTAACAAGCCCCTATATGCCTTCACCAGGAGAGAAAAAAACAAACAACCTTTGTATTAATTTCAATTTATTTTTTCCTTCCTAAAGCCAGCATGCATGTATTCAAGAACACAATGAAGCCCTTCACCTCAAGAGAGAAAAAACAGCATACCTCTCCTTTAGGGTATCTGTATCTGTATTTGTCTTGGTCTCTCAGTGCAAACTCAAGCGGATAATTTTCCTGTATTTCTTCATATGTCATTTCTTCACATACTCCCTATAGACAATAACAATAATTAAAAAGCATTTTTTTCCAGCAGTGCAAAAGGCAGGTATCACTCTTGAATAAAACCATATATAAATAACCTTCAACAATTGTTATTCTGACACTCAAAGACAAAATTGTCACACATGATGAACAGGACACTCAGCTGGACTCAGATGTGGTTAGAAGGAATCAATAAATCCCTATATAAGTGAAGTTACATACATGGGCAAGCAAGGTCACATTTTATCTATTGCACCTGCTTATATATCTTAAGTGCCAACTAGCAACCCCCACTTACCAAAAACTTCTTTCCAACACACACACTCACACACACACACCCCCACTCCGCAAAATTTCGTAGCACCATGGCTTCTACAGGGGAATGTTTACTGGGAAAGACAAACCAAGACTAAATTAGTTATGGCAAAATCTGATAAAACATTCAGCCTTGTTAACAGAAATTAATGACAATTTTTCCAGCCTGCAGAACCAGCTTAAATGACTTTCTATCCCATTACAGTATTTTCTTCATCCCTAGCAAACAAAGCAACTTATTAGATATCTAGAAAATAAGAACTTACTGCATCTATCTCATTCAAAACCTTCCACTGCTCATAAGGCACTCCCAAGGCTTCAGCAGTCTGAATTGTCCTTTTCATCTGGCTGGTCCAAACCTTCAGATCTTTGATATTTTGCTCATTAATAAATTGTGCCAAGCTTTTGGCAAACTGAAAGAAAAACCATAAGACACTGGATGAGGACTCAGAGCCAACACACTGTGTTCAGTTTGGAACACACAGGCTCTAGCCTCTGTAAACTCATTACAACTTTTCCAAAAGGCTCTGTCGAAGTTTTTGCTAAGAAATACAACACATTCCCTTAAGCCAAGAGGGACAGGAGAGGGAAGGAAAGGAGCACAAGGAACACAAAAGTTCTCTGCAGTTCCTATCTTTACCTCCGGGAATTTTCCTTTCAGCTTTAACTTGTGAACCTTCCAGATTATCCCACAAGTCAGGATTTTACAAAAATACAGTTAAAAAATAAAGCCCTCTCAACAACTGCTTTGTGCTGTAGGATAAAAAGGAGTTTCAATCAACAGAATGACAGACAGATAGATGAGCATGTACCAAATCACAAAGTGTGTCCATCCAGTTTCTACTACCCACACAGGCAACTAAAAAAACCTTCTTAAACATGTTAAGAGGAAAAGGGTGTAGAGGAAGAAAGCTGGAATTACACAGCACAAACTGCACGCATGCATAGATACACACAAAATCCAGTCACACTTGTTCAGGCGGTACGTACTTCTTTCCCCCTGACAGACAGTCCAGGATCTCCTCCTATTCTCCCTTTCAGATTGAGTTCACTTTCTCCATGTCGACAGAGGTAGATTGACCGAGGAGTCACATGGATATTCATGAGGTAGTAGACAATCCGGCTCTGAATGTGATCCATTACTCTGTTCACAAGGTAACTCCTTCCAACATCCATAATTTTGATATAAGAAAGATCCCTTTCACGAGCAAACAAAATATGTAAGATTCCACATCGTTTCTACTAGCATGTACCACAATCTTCCCACCTCTCTCTCATTATAAAACAGAAGGGCAACAAGCCAAAGCAAGAAACAAACCCTCAATTACCTGAGGAACACGCATTAGTCCTAAGAAACAATCCAAAGGTACAGGATGAACTCTATTCCTTTCACATGCAAGCTGCTCATATCACTTTCTTTTCTGTTCCCTTTACTTGCACTTTGCCTCTCAAATCTAGATCTACTCTCGGGAAAATACAGCCCTCCCACTGAAAAGAAGATTCAGTGGAGTCATTCAACTGTGGTAGCTTCAATAAGACATCCAGTTATCTTACCACACTAGCTCTTTTTCTCCAGGTTACAAGTATTTCTTTGATCGCACCCAGGGGTCAAGAGGCATGTCACTATTTACTCATCTCAGTTAATCCTTCCAGAAAAACTACAGCATCAGAAGGACCAGGGACTAGCCTGAAGCAAGACATTTTCTCAATCACTCTCTCAACACCTATTTATTAGCAGTACTGTAATTTACTCCACCACGACCTTCTCTCAGCATCAGACAGGTTATAATTTCAATTTTCACTGCTTATCCTTTCTTGCCTGAGCTCTAATTTCACAGTAGCATCTAGTTTAAAGGAGGAAAAAAGTCTAATAAGCTGAAAATAATCATTACTGGTTTTCTAGCAATGCATTTGAGACATCACACCACAACGAAACACGAAAACTTGTAACAGAGGTGATTAGAAGCAAGCATCATCACCTCACCTCTGATGACATTCTGCAGAGTTAACCATTACTGTTTCACCCAGGCACCACCATTAGGTCCATCACAGAAATTACACTCATGAGCTGATCTGATTGAACCAGCTTCGCACTGCTTACACTCAATTACATCAAAATGCAGCTCAGCCTTCTCTGTAGCACTGGTCCTGAAACAAACCAGGAGCACCTGGTCTGAGTGCAGCTAAAAATGCCACACTGAAATCCTGAACTGTAGCAGAGAAACAGGGCTCCTCCCCACACAGTTCATCCCTGCCTTACTTTCAAGTGTTGAAAGTGAATGAAAAACAGATGAATGCCTTGGCATAAGGGCAAATAATCTAGCTAAGGAAGTTTCTCACAGCCCTGCATCTGCAGGATAATTTGCAAGCACTAATACATTTAGAAGTCACATTTTTAAGACTGATGCATTCAAAATTCATCTTAGCCATGTCAAAAAATGAAGTTATGCTTACAAATCAATCAGGTCTCCTCTATAAACTAAAAAAACCCGAGTAACAACCAACCACTACAGCAAGTCTGGAATAATTTCTAAGTGCTGGTTCTATCCCAGAAGAATTCTCCAAGTGGGAAAATCAAAAAGAATATTGTCCCAGAGTGGACTCGTTAGCCAATTTTCCTCAAGCAAGCAAGTTTCCAGGCTACACCCCGCGTCAACTCTAATTTGCCAAAGGAAAGAGAGCTCAAGCCATTAAAAAAAACATGACTAGAAAGCCCTAATCCCTTATACGGGACGCTCCATCCCCTAAGGAAACATCTTAAAATAACACAGTTGTAATCACAGTATTATTTAATCACTTACTTGTCAAGAGTTTCATCTAACGTCTCATACGAGTTCTTGTAGCACTCTATTCTTTTCATGAAGTCCTCTGTTGCTTCATCATTACTACAATCAACATAGTCAGGACTACCCAGCTTCACTTGCTGTTTAAAATAAAAACAGGAGAGTACTAAGTTTCTTTCCCTTTTTAATAGAAGTTTAAAGACATAGGAGAACACAACACACAAAAATTATTTTCTGTAAGTTAATGAAAATACATGTAAAGCAAAAAGAGCTATTCTTCATAGCATTAAACTTCTGAGTTAGTACACACATGGACAAGAAAGTAAACAAAAAGTGTTCCATTAATGGGAGCTAATTTTTTTTTTTTTTTTTTTTGCTATTCGAAGTTTTTATAATGTACTTCTAAAAACACTGAGCTACTTTAAACCTCTTGACTTAAAGCAATTAAAGCAAACTTTCTTATACTCACCACAATGTTTGCAGCAATGACCTCTGGATCTACGCATACCGACTCAACAAAAAAAGTCTTCAGTCCAAACGGGAAGTCACATATACAGAAGGAAGTAAGGAAGAAAGATGCATTAAAACTCCTCTGGAGACTAACACACAAGCAGCATGTTGGCCACTTCCATGCCAACCACTTTTAACAGCACCATGCATTAAACTTCCCTCCGTTTACTCAGAAGGGTTCTCCAGACCCTCTCATCAGAAATTGTTGGCTTACCATTCCCTGAAGTGTCACGTTCTATACTCTTTTCCCCAACAACACTCATAAGTGGAAAAATTTTGCAGTGAGAAAAATTTAGGATGGAAGAGGAAGAAATAAATGCAGAGGATGCAAGTTCAGCCACAGAAGCGGTAACTAATGCTTCTGAAATAGTAATTGAGAAGCCTTTCAACTAATGGAGTAGCCTCACTTAAAAAGAGGCTTGTGTTTTGCTGTCTCAAAAGGTTTATGGAGATGAAGTTTAGAGGAAATGAAAGATTACTAGAGACAGCTGAATGCAAAAAAATCCTGGGCAGAAAGCAGAAAGCCACAGAAAGTTTTTGATTTGTACAGAACTAACACAGAATTCCCTACATGTTTCTGTAGCAAAAAAATCTGAACTGCATTACGAACCTTATTTTAAATAGTTCTCGCTAACAGTACGCTCAGAACTACAGGTCCAGGATGACAGCATTGAAGCCACAGCATAAAATAGATTAGCTCCAAAGAGTACAAACATTAAAAACAAGAGAAATGAGGTGACTTTTAATCACAAACAATGCTTGAGAACACAAAATGCATTATTGACTGAACACCTAGGAAGGATGTGGCTTATGCTAGTACACTTCTCAACTGGGGAGTACAGATAGGAGAAAAACCAACACTGCCTTACTTATCCAGGCGTTAGCTCAGCACTCCTTTGCTTTTCACTCACCTTATATCCATTTTCTTCACCGAATTTGTAAATAGTTTCTCTACGTTCTCGAGTTGTGTTTGTAGCATCAAAGACCTAGGAATAATTATGTGGAGGGGAGGAGAGAGGGAAAGAAAGAAAGAGAGAGGAATTAAAAAAGCATCATAGCCCGTGAAAAGCACTGTGTTAGTAACAACAAAAATATGGGTTCAAAGTCCCTCAATGGAAGGAAACCAATGAAAACACTTCCCCTTCACTCTACCCTGCTACCTCAACATGCTCAACAGAAAAACAAAAGACATTCCTACTTTACACATATGATTTTCTAAATTTTTTTTTTAAAAAAGTACTATTTTGAAAGCACTACTAGCAGAACACTATATTTGGAAGAAGCAACCAGAATTTAAGCCTACCATATAATACAGGACAGAATCTTCCTCCCGGCCCATATCATCATTAAATACTGATGCACAGTTTTTTTAGTGAACTTACTACTACACAAAAAAAGATGTTGTGATCAATATGCTATTCAAAATGCAAGCACAAAACTTTTAAAGGGCAGAAGATCCGCAAGACTTGTAAATCCTGCCCATGAATTACAAGATATATGCAGCCATTTTTCTAAGAAATTATGCTTAGCTCTGAACACACCAGTGTTTTACCAAACGATGAAGTTTTCCAAAGTATGAAGTTCACCTCATGTCCCCAGCAGAACTTACAGTTAATACTTTTCCCTAATTAGTTAATGAAAACACCATGGAGTTATGTCAGTAGTCTTAAGAAAAACAATGTTACGCAAATTAACGTGAATACGCAACATCAATAGTTGAACAACTGATGTTTTGCGTCCCATTATGAAATACTCAGTTATGCAGCAATTTGATTGGAGTTTCTCCTGCTCTCTTCAGGAGATTCAGAGATTTCTCATGTCAGTAACAAAACTGCCAGGCAACATCCAGGATGCTTTCTGTTCAGCAAGTCTCTACCTTTCACTTGAAACACTAGACTATCAAATAGAAACACAAGTGCAATGAAAACAACAGATGTGTTTAACAGTACATTATATAATGTGGAGAGAAGGCAGATGTTTTTCTCAGTGTCACCCTCTCCTCAAATCACAAAGGTGGCTGCTCAATATGGCATCATCACTCTGAACTTAAGCGCTCCTTTCACTGCAGCAAGGCAAACCTAACATACAACTCCCAAAGAAAAACATCTGATATACTGAAGAGAGATTAGAACTACTCAGGCTGTATATTATCCAGCAGACACACACTGTTTTGCAGGGAAGCATCTTAAGAATGTGTCTTCAACAAGAAACTTACAGCCACGTGCCCACTTTCTTCACTGAGGTACTGTCGGACGTCATTCAGCGCTGCTAAGGCACACTGTCTTAAAAATGAAAGAGAGTAAAACTCAAACCCTAGTTAAAGTAATTTTATTAATGCAGTTGTACGTTGTGATCAAAGTGCCCTGCAAATGTTAGATAATCTCTCTTAAACACGCTTTTTTTTTTTTTAATCAGCCCCCCGCACAAACATGGGAAAAACCAACAGAGGCCAACCAAGCTATACTAAGGAAACATGGTCATGGCCATCTGCCTAAAAAAACACCAGTCCAGAGCTCCTCTGTGCAATCGATACAACTATAATCACCACAGCATACGCATCAACTTCTGCTGACCAGGATAAACTTTCACTGATCTAAAGTAACATCACTGAATCATCCCAGCAACTGTATTCTTTTTCCAGTTACCTATTCATAGATTCTTGCTTCTTAATTTGATTCTCAAAGAGGGGAAAAAATAAATCAACTTTAGGCTTTTATCTTGCAGCCCCAAGTTAAAGCAGACAGACAACTATTTCTCCCATAATCTTCCACTTCTCTTTTGAGCTATTGTGTAAAAATTACTTATGTCAAAAAAAAAAAAAAAAAATCTGTTAAAACAGAGTAAAATGAAGTTAGCATCAAGTACTAGGAACAGCAGTGACAACAACATCCCATTGTAGTCACCAACCCAATCTAGTTAGTACTGGTGACTATTGAGGACACAAACACCAAAAAACCCCACCCCTACATACTTTACACTTGTGTTAAATTTAGACAAGAACAAATTCATTTGCAACTTTCCTATTTCCCCAGCATTAGTATTATTTTCAAAGTCCATTTATGTGATTTCTAACACATAAATAATACTGGAGGGCAACATTAACATTGTACAAGATTTACTCATTAGTAGAACAAAGTCCCATTTATTCCCAGTAAGTATAGTCTTTTGCAGCACCAACATAAAAACCTGTCCATTTCAACAGCCTTCCTATGCATTACTACGCTATTTTGACTTCCAGACTGAAACATGTAACTCTTCTCTTACATTTAGCATATTCTGCATGCACAGCTTTATCTTAAAAGAAAAATGAAGGCTTTTCAATCCTGACAGTATTTCCACATTAGCATGGTTAACAGATGTCAGGAACTGAGATTCATCAGTCAAGCCTTCACTAAACAAATATAAATCCTCTTTACCCATTGCTAACTAGGCAGATTAGCTCACACAGCCCATTTCGTGTTATATTCTTCACCATTTAGTCTAACAGGTGACACAGAGGCACGTTAAAGGTTTGGCTCTACCTCTAAGCAAAATGCAGGGGCTTCCAAGGCTAAAGCACCTCACATCTACTCTTCGGTCCCAAAGGATTAGGACATTTTTATGCAAGTTGTTCTCCTTTGACATTAGCAACACTCAGCTACTGCTGAAGGGCAAGGGGAAGAGAGAGACGACAAGCAGAGGGACAGCCACAAAAGAAAGTCCAGACAGTAGGGAAGTCCAGACATTTTTTGATGCTTGAGCCGAGCAATTAAGAACAAAATACTTCATATTTTAAGCAACGTAAACAAATCACATTTCCATTCCTCTAAAATTTCTGTTCCTTCCCATTTCATACTGCACACTCTTAAATGTTTTCCTGAACATACTAAAAAATATAATGAATGGTGAAGAAAAACAAAAGACTTTCCCATTTGATCTTCTGTAAGAAAGAGGCAGCTCCCTCTCGCTCTGACCTTCTCTTCATCCATCCTTCCTTCTTAAGGTCTTTCCTCCACATTTAAAGCACAGTCTCTTTTCAGGCAAGAGGGGAGTCTCAAGTGCTTCATCTGGACACAGATGTTCACACTCATGCTCACCTTGCTTTGCACAGCATTAGCAAAACATGGCAATTTTGAAGGCAGTACACTCACTGACTGCAGGAAGCACCTGCATGGTGGCCAAAACCACAGTTTCAGGGAGAGAATAATAGTGTTTCATTCCCACTCATTTGAATGGAGAATGACAAATATGTTCGAAGTACTCCAGGCAAAAAATTCCAGTATGCATACCAAAAAGAAAAGCAGTTATGTGTTTTTTTTTTTCTTTATGATCCACACAAAAGCTCTAAAATGGTATTTTAGGAACTACGACAGCAGAAAGAAATCACATCTCTTAGTTGATACCTTACAAAAAAGGTAAGAAAAATAATAACTACTTGTTAGAATTGCTTTGAGTGAAAATATCCTGGATATCTGCAGGAATAATAGCAGTCACAGCCTACTGAAAGGTGAAAAGCAATCAAGTATTTACATTCTCTGCATTTTTGATGCTCGAGATGAAGCAATTCAGAAAAAAATACACCAAATTTCAAGCAGCCTAAACAAATCACTTTTCCACACTCTCTAGAATTTCTTTTCCTTGTCATTTTATACTGGAGTCTCTTAAGGGTCGTCTTGAGCATATAAAAATGCAACTTAAAGCAGTCTCTAAAAGCAAATCACACAAGGTACCATTTTAATACAATTAGCATTGTGTAGCCAAACGCATTCAAAACTTACTTCCTGATTTTCAAGCCTTCTTCATTGTCAGGCAGGAAGAATTCAAAAGATTTATACTTTTTCACCAAATCTCGACGATACTGACCAACATTAAATTCTGCCAAGAAGAAACCAGTATTAGTGGGAACTAACCACATTCACATAAAAAGGACATAAGTTATAACAGCTTTTAAACCAAACTACCTGCAAGGATAAAATAAATTACCCTGTACAAAGTCAACATGTCATGCTACTTCTTGTGTTTTGGGCGATTTGTGGGGTTTTTTTGTTTTGTTTTGGTTTGTTTTGTTTTTTTTTAATACAAAGACAGTAACAAATGGAAATGGCAAAAGAACATTTGGGCTGTAGGTAGCTTCAATGGAGTCACTTGACAATACTGCTGTGCCTCTGTCTGCCAGTTTGCCTGAAGAACAAAAGGAAACTCTTTTCCTCCTTCACAGGGATGGCTGGAAGTCTATTTTGGTAGCCTACAAAGGACTACTAATAATCTAGATTTTTCTTCTGTGTGTACTTGCAGCAAAACAGTATTCTGACAGCACCTCCCGAAACTTCCAGCTTATTTAAGCAAGGAAGAGTTCTAAATCAAACTAACCAATCTTGCTTTTGATAAACAAAACTTAAAATTCAGGTTGTGGAAACATTTTTTCAGAACTCTGCTCAAATACATCTATTCCTTAAGGATCAGTACATACTATTTCACAACCCCTGTTCCATTTATTTTAAAAAAAAGTCATTACAAAATTCAGTACTGAACATAATCTTACTGTGATCTCTTAACAATGGTCAAAGAAAACTATTCCTCATCTGGGCAAAGGTCCATAAGGTCTAGGGCTGTACACCTGTCGCAATACTGGAAATGGGATTAGGGCAAGGCAGTTCTGTTTTGCCACACGGCAGACAATGACACTGTACCCTAATTAGGTTTGTTTGACAGCTCTGAAAGTAGGTCTCTGAAGTGCAATTAATGTTTAACTTGTTTCTGACCTATAGGTTTTCTCTGCTGAACTGCAAAGCATTTTTTCTTTAACATTAGATCAAACTGAAGTATTCTGTTTGAGAAGCTGCCAAGGTATAACTACTTGCCAGACTTCATTTCTGGAAAGAGAAAAAGAAGTAATAGACATAACTGCTGAGTTGTAATTAAGAAAAAGAAGACATAGGATAAAAAAGCTCAACCGTCAGCTGCTCTGTATAGATTGCTGTTGGGATTGGGGGCAGAAGATAAAGAAATATATATTGTTTATTCCTCCCAAAAGCCAAGTTTTGTTTGAATTCAGCAATGTTGATCTAATTTTTTTGTGATCAACAGTATGACATGGATTATAGTGCAATCCAGGTTATTCTGTGACAAGTTTAACAAGCACTGGCCATACTGGCTACATGAAAAGGTGGTTGCTTGTAAGAAAACCAGAAGATGCAAGAAGTTCACACAGCCAGTGTTGCCAGAAATAGCCCTTTTAAAAAAATAAAAAATAATGAATTTTGCAAGAAAGAATAGTTTCTGCAAGAGGGTCACACACAGCAAAGGAAAAAGTGCTATCTAGTGAGATGATTTTTAGCCCTTATTATTAGCATCTACCCCTACAGAAAAGTTTCACAAAGCTAACTAGTATCACAACTACCACACAGCTTTCCAAAGTTTAGTATCTAAAAAACCACATTGCAACACAATTCTCTTCAGGCATTTAATTGACCTCATTTCCTTCAAAAAGCCCAGACAAAAGTCCTTTGTATTTTTAACCATTTCGCATTCTAAATGACAGAGGATTTTGGAAGGAATAAAAGAAAACACAGAATTGATGGCTGAAATTATTCAACTAACATCAACTCTGGGCTAATTACCTTCACCTTCTGTTCTTGAACTCTCCAGCTTGCTTAATGTATGTTACATGAAAAGATGGCATTTATCTTTTCTCTCATTTATATAAACTCATAATTTAACCATCTGTCTCAGAATAAGAACACTTACTATATTAAGCACACACTAATTTTAAGACATTAAAAGCCAAGGGGTAACAGATGTTAGGGCTACTCGATTATCTATGTATCGATTCAGTCCCAATCAACTGGAAGCATCAGGCAACAGGTTATCTATTCCCTCAGGCAGCCAGGTATTTTAAATTGATTTCAGCTTCAGTAAAATTGTATCACTAATGACAGACAACAGTAAGGGTCTGTGGTTTTCCAAGAAAATCTCAAACCACTCTTACAAAGACAAACCATAACCAGCAACCTAGAATGGAAGCTCATATGGTAACTTTATGCTGTATATTTTCATAAAATTAGGCAGCAATGCTTTTAATTATTTTTTTAAGCATAAGTGTATATATTTTCTGACATGCTGCTCACAGTAGCCCACAGATCTTTTCCTATAACTGAAGCAGACGATCCCTATCTATTTTACTGTATTTGGGATATATTCAAGCAAGCATGAGCCAGATGTGGACAATATCTTGTTTGTTGTCCAATACTGGATTTCTGCTTTTGAAAGTTCACATAGTAAAGTGCTCAACACAATGACATAACATATCATACATATCTAGGTATGTAACCACCATACAAGCATAGTTATATCACACACATTTTTATCAGCTTGGATACAGACAAACCTACGTAGGTTGTTATTCAGTTTCAGCCTAATGGATAAAACTGGACTCCCTGAACATCTGATACTGCTCATCAGAATGGTTATACTGCGTGGAAACAGTCAAAACTCACGAGAATTTAAACCCCATAAACTTTCATACTCAAAAAATATAACATATACTCTGTAATGTCTCATCTAAATAAAGTATATTAGACAAGTTTCTAAGAGCTTAACACCAACTCAAAAAGCTATACTGTAGGATCGAAAGACAGTTTAAATATTGGCCAGAACTCTTCATCTTGACTTCTTAGAGCTACTAGGAAATACATCTCTGAATACGCAGCCAAAAGTCTATGCTTTAGTATGATCTAATATGTTTAATGTTATTTAAATGATTAACTAGTCATAACTATAAAGCCACTGTTACTGCATCAGACACAGAAACACTTTTTGTTGTACCGGAACACAGGAGAAGGCAGGGGAGGTGGCTGCTCAGAACTTCAAATGGACTTAGGTCTTGTTTACTTGTTGATCTGGGCCCAGGAGATACCTGGGATACCACAGGAGCTCGGGAATGAGGTAGGACAGCCAGGTCCCTAGCACAGCCAATCTGAGCCGTTTACGACTCAACACACACACACACATAAAGTCCTTAAGAGAGTGGTAATAAGTGGCTGCTTCAGTTCCTTGGGCGCTTAATGTTCAGATAAAGAGCTGTAACTCATTCCACAAATGCAGTTAAACAGAGTTACACAGAATTACACATTGCACAAAGTTCACAGAGAAAAAAAGATGGAGAAGTCAGAACTTTAACCCAGAAATGCTGCCTGCTCGTCCACTAGTAAACAAGATTCCCTTTCACTCACATAAAGGGGAAGGAAGGAAAAAAGAAAATAAAATTTTAAAAAACGGACACCTGAAGCATTGAAGTGTTAAGTGACAAGGGCAAGAAGTTGATTTAGGCACCTGGCAGAACAAGGAGGTAAAAACAGTCACCAGAATTTGATTAATTAACATCTAAATGGAACAGAAAGCTTGTGTATGCTACTGCTTAAAAATAAGTTACCAAAGCATAAGGACTGTAAGTAGTCAAACTTGGCAATAAAATTACTGGGAATTAGGTTTATAAAAACACCTAGCATCTGCCCTGCCCTTCAATGTAAACAAAAGTAAATCCATCACCTTTTGTAGGCACACCAATCCAATTTAAATAGCGCGTCAGCTTCTTCGAGATGTAGGTTTTTCCTCTTGCTGGGAGACCAACCATGACAATCAGAGTAGGGCAATTGGTCATACATACTGAAACAGAAAACCAGAAAACTTGCATTTACCATTAAAGCTCCCACAAACAAAAGTCTTATACTGCAGTGGAAAACTACAATCTGTGTGCTCTCTGAGGAAGTGACTGTTCAAGCAGCTCATGCACTGTGTCTCACTGTTTCCGGGGGTTTCTTCAGGAGTACGGTTGACCCAACCATGTTTCTTAGGCTGTGCTCAATTTTGGAAAGGCAAGTCAGGGTAGTGCAATGCTGGACATGCGAGTTGTACACAGGCAGAAGACAAGAAAACTATGTATTTGCATACATGTTTTAAGACATACAAAAAACAATACAAAAAAAAGGACACTGACGTCTTACACCCATATGTACCTCAGTTCAGTGCTTGCATTGAAAGGAAACAGCAAGGTGTACACAATTTTTAGGTAATTTTTAAACCTTTAAGACAAGGCCTCAATACTGTTAAACCTTTTCATGTTTTCAAGTGAAACAAGCATAACATGCAGCTTAATACATTATAGTATGACATGGTACTCGCTATTTATTATTTCTCCTTTAAATATTATTAACACAAAAATATCTCTTGAAACAGAGCTCATTTTGACTGTTCTTCGATGGTTAGTATGAATAAAGCACAAGTATTCTACACAATCAAGTACAATAATCTGATATACAAATATACGTACAGAAATACTCTTAATCAAAGGCAGTGTTTAACTAAAAAAAACAAACCACAACACCATAGGAAGTTAAAGGAGTTATATGTATACACTGAAAACCCTGGGGAATTTCCTTTCAAATGACAAGTTTTTGAACATTTTAATGGCACAAAACTACAGATACCTTGCATGAATTTATCACAGCTACACGGAAGGGCTTAAAAAGAAAGAAGACATTAAAGTAGCACAAAGATATCACCAGCTTCCTCCATCCCTTATTTCAAAGGGAATTAATTTCTATACAATCCACACGTGCCTAAGTTTCCTCAGCGTGTTGATAGAGGGTGAGAAGATTCGCTCCAAAAGACTAAATCTCAGTGTTACACCATAAGGCATAACTAAACTGTTACTTTGTAAATGTTAGTGACAAAGCACTGTGATTGCCCAAGATTCCCAAACCTTGGATTGGCAAGTCCCATCCCACAAACTCACCTGCACAAGTCTGGCACAGCTACTCTACATAGTAACCCCATCAAAAAAGAACAAACAGATTAGCAAAGACAGATGCACTTTCTTAAAATGCACATTGAAAATTAAAAAAAAAAAAAATCCACCAAAAACCACAAAACCCAAACCCACTGAACACACCACTTTTCATGAGAGAAAGGAGACAAACCTGTACCTAACCTCAAACCCACAGAACAGTCTACTACTTCATGTAATGAAAAGTCACAGGGAACCTAATGCAAACCAAAACAGATCCATCCAAACATGTCCATGTCTCTAGAAGGACACTGATAAAAGCCTCCAGAGTAAGGCCCTCTATGCAGAAGCCTATAAACAAGGACAATGTTTGTGTGTCCCTTTTCCTCCTTGCCCTAAATTCAGGCCTGTGAATGCCCTCTCCAAGAAAAGGAAGGAAGGCTCTGGGGAAACAAAGTCTATGAAGCACAGAGTACACGGCTTACTAAGCTTAACAGCTTTGCTTCTAGTTTTAAAGACAACAGAAATAAAATACTGAGATGAGAGAAATCCCTGAGCCCTTAGAAATTTTTAGAGAAGACATTGTTCTTTGAAGCCAATTGGAAAGGTTCCTCACCTGAAAAATCTAGCTTGTGTTTTAAACAATTCTCCAGTACAAGCAGTGAAATAAGACAAACCAGATCTGTACGGAAAGGCTCTGTACACAGCCTCAGGTTCTCCTGCTCTGCAAGGAACCATGCTAACTGAAACAGGCTTTTCTACCCATTCTGGGCAGAATTTTTTTTTTTCGCCTTCTCATGGGGTGAGCCATACAAATTTAGCCTTCTTGCAGAACATTCATCTTTTGGCAATGTAACGGTAAACCTATACTGGAGCAAAACTCCATTTTGCAAAACTAAGGGCTAGGAAGAAACCTGCAACCCGTTTAAATGGCTGCTCCACAGATTACACCAACAACCACTCTCTAAGCTAAGTCCTACTGCCTACATCTATTTGTAACAGACCTTCTCATTAAGCAGCAACCCGGACCAACACAACTACAACAACATGCAAGAGGTACACTTCCTCCCATTCCCAAACAGTCAGTATTTTTATGCAAGTTTCCTCAAAGAAAGTACAAAAACTAGCAAAATTGCTTTTATAAGAGCCCAGTGCATACAGTTGAGCATGCAAGACTAATCTGTTACTCTGATCACTCTGTACACCACGCTTTAGCACGCGACCATATAGCAGAGACCTAGGGAATTATCTTCTGATCCCAACCAAACAAGCTGCAATGCTATTCTGCTTAGGCACCAGACTGACCGAGAGTGCTTTTCCTCTTTAAAGGCAGATACAAGCAACACACATGCCCGGCACAGCAAAAGGAGGAATATCAGCAATTCCCAAGATCTTAAATACTCTGTTTTTACACAATGCCATAGCCCTGTAAACAACACTACACAGCACACGGTGCTACAGCATACACCACCCATTAGTGCGTGTCTTCAACACAAGGATACCAGTTCACAACCCAAAATTCAGGGTACTAAAAAATATTTGGTGTTCTGGCTTACATGGCCAACAGCGGTTGCAGCCTAACACAACTTACACAGGTGGCACCTGGTGACAAGCACACCTATGCATTTGGAAGCAAAAGTCAAAGGCACATTTGCTGGCCAAAACAGCAGATGTTAACAGCTGAATGACAGGACTAAAAATAAAAGCACACAAAGCAACTATTTTACTTCTTCTGTACCTCAGTGTAGCATTCTCAGCAACACACATAAGACTCAGCACAGCAGACACAGGTTTTTGGTTTCTTCCTTACGACCCTTTGTAATTAACAAGGCTTAATTTTGTTCATTAACTCAGTAAAAAAGTCCAGACCAGAAGAAAATGCAAAGTTCTGAGGGTGTATCAAATACTCAAAAGCTAAAAATAATTTAATTATCTTTCACTTTATCTAACTGAACCACAGCTTTCTCAACAAAATATTGCCAACGCTCACTGCAAGTGGGGAGGAACGTTCATTCCAATGACAGTATTTTAAATGTCAGTGCCTCAAGACTTACACTTTCCCTTGAATAAATATAAGCAATTTTGATATGAGGAAGTTGACTGATAAAAAAATCCAAACAAACCACAAGCTACACATCTCTAACTCCTGGAATAAAAAAGCCTGTTTAGTTTAATATTGTCCCAATGGCACAATGCTCAATTCCCCTTTTCACAGCACCTCACCATCATTCACTTTACATGAAAGACAATTAGCAGCACAAAAGTAGTTATACAGGTGCATGTTGCAGAGCCAAGGCAGACTCCTAAGCTCAGCTTTCTCTCAATTCCTTGTTGCTGTATTGTCTGGTTTACCTCCAAAAACCTCTCTATACAATCTAGTCTCAAGAAAACAAAATCATTTTTTAATACTGTTTCATGTATGTAATTCCTAAGGGTTTCCAACAGCCGCAACCTGTGGAGGTGCTATCAACACCAATTTTGCTAGAGGAACATACACATTCAGAACAGCAAAATAAAACTTACAGGGCTGCATGCCATCATTTGCTAAAGATGCCCTATGACTTTACTCAGTTTTTTCCTTTAAAATACACGTTTGTAATATATGCATGTAAGATTGCATGTTTATGAACAGCAGCATCAAAGAAATGTACGTTGCCATCCCCTTGCTTAGAGGGAACATACAAAAAACATGCCCAAAATACCAGTCAGTGAAGGAAAATGGCCCAGTGGTGAAGCACATTAAAATCAAGTATTGCAATTCAAGCAAAGTCATTATACCAATTAAAAATTTCTTACTACTGAACACCACAGCAAGTTGCAGCTCAGTGTAAAATTATGACTGCCTTCCTTAACAGTCAAGGCAAGAAGAAACTACATATCCATTTCTTGCCTCTTAGACTCTATTGTGAAATAATAATGCAAGATGCAAAGAAGGTTGTGAAACCAAACTGGGACACTGAACAGCCTAGATCAGCTGGGCAGTATTTCATCAGCCCTCAAAACTCACACAATCTTGTGAAATTGGAGACTAGAGTTGGTATATCTAAAGTTCACCTACTACCTAACATATGACCAACTGTCCCTTCCTTTCACCCAAATAAGATCTGGGGGTCTTCCTTACCTATATTAATTTTTTAAGTAAACATTTAAGTTCAGATGCTTTTTGTATCAAGCTGCTATAGTTAGCCATCTGAAGTTTACGAAGGATTCTTGGTGTTTTTATGGCCTTCGACTCAAGGCCCATTCTCCGAAATCCCTGTACTATTTAGAGGCTCACACACAAATCTCTTTAAACTGTAAGCCAACACAACTACCCTTCCAAAAAAGGTTAACCCTACATGTTTTCCCCTATAACTTACCCAATTTAACTATTGCTAATCCATTTCTTCCTGTCGATCAATGATGACAAGCGGTCACCCTTCTGCGCATCCTGCAGGGACAAGTTCCCCATCCTGCTGCTCTTCCTGAAGAGCATCCTGCTCCTATACCTGAAGAAGTCCATTATCTTCTAATTTGCCTCTCCTCTTTTGGTCCAAATCACCAGTTTCTAACATCACCTTGGTAAAAGGGATTCAAAATTCGTATTTGTCCTCTAGTCAGGCTCATGCCACCAGCTGCTCCTAGCAGTTCTGCCATCCACTTGCTTGGGGTTACCATTTGCTTCCTACAGCTTTGATGCCAACAGCAATGGCCCAGCTGGGCGTCGTCCTTACCTCCTTCGCTTTCTCCATCTTCAGTTCCTAGGGTTGGAAGTACAAATACACACAAGCAGCATGAGCTCAAAGGGTACAGTTCCTTAGAGCAAAGATAATCTTCATTTGATACTTTTTTTTTTTTGGACCTGAGGTACATTCACACTGCTGTACAAACAACAAA